CTGAACGAACCATCAATCATTAATTTAACCTTTCTATCGTTTCTTATGCAGGTTATTAAATTTTATTTCAATGCACCAGTTCAGTTAAGAGTCTCAAGGTTACTTGCTTGACGGCATAAAAGGGCGTTTCCCTGGTTCGTTGTTTGGCGGTCTCCTCGTGCCTGGATAGATGTCTCTGGGCGGCCAATCACATGGTGTGCTGGCGAATGGATGAAAGTGTTTAAGTTCGAACTCGAAGTGCTTTGCAATCGAAACGAGTTAACGAAACTTTGCAGCAAAAATTAACTCAGAACCGAGACTCTCACGGAAAAGAAAAGAAAGCTAAGAAAGGAAAGAAAAGTGAGACGAGTTGTTGGATGGCATTGAATGGAAGCTGTTTAACCCATGGATGTTCTCCTGATGTTGTTTGGGTTCGTTTGTCTGCTAGTCTACTACATTGTTTCTTGTCTATCGGGTTACTCGTCATGCTTCTCCAGCACAACTTTCAGATAACTCTCAGATAACTCCAAGATGACTCCAACCCTTTGTTCGGGTCTAGAATTTTTAACTCAAATGTTTGTCCCGCCTCCTGGAAGAGTTGGTATTTCCTTCAGCTCTCATTGTAAATCATCTGTTATCTAGGATCCCCATTCTCTCCAGCTTTAGCAGAGTACAGAGGATACAGTTTAGACATGACTATTACAAGAAAGAACACCAAACAATTTACACAGATTTCACTCAAGCCATTTTCTGAATCAAGATCCAACATGACATCATGACTTTTGCGTAAACATATACGCCACTTTCGCGCCAGGTGGCGTGTTATCTCTACGCATTTTGAGCTATCCGCGTGTATGCGTATATGCCGACGCCATTAACGTCCGCGTCATTTCGCGTGTCTGTACACGCAGTCAAATCTCCAGTCATAAATGCCATTAACCCCAGTGACGGTTAAGTTCAGGGATGGGGTTGAGGTAAGTCATATCTTTTTCTTTCCTAGGATGGTAAGGAAACAGTGATAAATGCCATTAACCCCAGTGATGGTTAGGTTTAGGGACGGGGTTGAGGTAAGTCATATATTTATACAACCCGAATTCCAGAAAAGTTGGGACGTTTTTTAAATTTGAATAAAATTAAAACTATACGACTTTCAAATCACATGAGCCAATATTTTATTCACAATAGAACATAGATAACATAACAAATGTTTAAACGGAGAAATTGTACACTTTTATCCACTAAATGAGCTCATTTCAAATTTGATGCCTGCTACATGTCTCAAAATAGTTGGGACGGGGACACGTTTACCATGGTGCAACATCTCCTCTTCTTTTCAAAACAGTATGAAGACGTCTGGGCATCGAGTTTATGAGTGTCTGGAGTTTTGGTGTTGGAATTTGGTCCCATTCTTGCCTTATATAGGTTTCCAGCTGCTGAAGTGTTCGTGGTCGCCTTTGACGCATTTTTCGTTTAATGATGCGCCAAATGTTCTCTATAGGTGAAAGATCTGGACTGCAGGCAAGGCCAATTCAGAACCCGGACTCTTCTACGACGAAGCCATGCTGTTGTAATATCTGCAGTATGTGGTTTTGCATTGTCCTGCTGAAATACACAAGGCCTTCCCTGAAATAGACGTTGTCTGGAGGGGAGCATATGTTGCTCTAAAACCTTTATATAGCTTTCAGCATTCATAGTGCCTCCCAAAACATGCAAGCTGCCCATACCGTATGCACTTATGCACCCCCATACCATCAGAGATGCTGGCTTTTGAACTGAACGCTGATAACACGATGGAAGGTCTCCCTCTTCTTTTGTCCGGAGGACACGGCGTCCGTGATTTCCAACAAAAATGTCAAATTTGGACTCGTTTGACCATAGAATACTTTTCCACTTTGAAATAGTCCATTTTAAATGAGCCTTGGCCCACAGGACACGACGGCGCTTCTGGACCATGTTCACATATGGCTTCCTTTTTGCATGATAGAGCTTTAGTTGGCATCTGGAGATGGCACGGCGGATTGTGTTTACCGACAGTGGTTTCTGGAAGTATTCCTGGGCCTATTTAGTAATATCATTCACACAATCATGCCGATGAGTGATGCAGTGTAGTCTGAGGGCCCGAAGACCACGGGCATCCAATAAAGGTCTTCGCCTTTGTCCCTTACGCACAGAGATTTCTCCAGTTTCTCTGAATCTTTTGATGATGTTGTGCACTGTAGATGATGAGATTTGCAAAGCCTTTGCAATTTGATGTTGAGGAACACTGTTTTTAAAGTGTTCCACAATCTTTTTACGCACTCTTTCACAGATTGGAGAGCCTCTGCCCATCTTTACTTCTGAGAGACTCTACCTCTCTAAGACATCCCTTTAATCATGTTACAGACCTGATATCAACTTAATTAGTTGCTATAGATGTTCTCCCACCTGAATCCTTTCTAAATTTCTTGCTTTTTCAACCATTTGTTGTCCCCGTCCCAACTATTTTGAGACCTGTAGCAGGCATCAAATTTGAAATGAGCTCATTTAGTGGACTAAAGTGTAAAATTTCTCCATTTAAACATTTGTTATATTATATATGTTCTATTGTGAATAAAATATTTGCTCAAGTGATTTGAAAGTCGTATAGTTTTCATTTTATTCAAATTTAAAAAACGTCCCAACTTTTCTGGAATTCGGGTTGTATAACGTTAAGTCAACAGCGTTCGTAAACACGCTGAAAGGCGATTATGCGTCTTGATAGCACGCCAAAAATGGAAATACGAATTGGCGTGTCATACACACACTATTTCATGAGATCAGTCTGCAAGATCATATGATCTTACTGATAGGAAACATGATACACTTTCATTCACACATCTAATAGTTATAACAATTACATGACTTCTATGTGATCTAAGCATAATAGGTTTGTTGGCTAGTGTAGACTAGGTGGAGCCGGGATCTTTATGGTTCTGGAATGTTGATCTTAGGTCCGGAGTGTTGAATTCTGTTGGAATGAATCCCATGGGAGATTCATTTGTGTTTGGTTCACCCTCAACTCCTACATGTGTTTTCAGATTTTTTTTGGCACACTGAATATCGTCACAGTGTGAACACTTTGTAAGGTTTTTCTCTAGTGTGGATCTTCTCATGTTTTTTCCGATTTTTTGACAAACTGAATCTCTTGTCACAGTGTGAACACTTGTAAGGTTTTTCTCCAGTGTGAGTCCTCTCATGTGATTTCAGATTTGTTGACTGACTGAATCTTTTGTCACAGTGTGAACACTTGTAAGGTTTTTCTCCAGTGTGGCTCCTCTCATGTGTTTTCAGACGTGAAGGCATACTGAAACTCTTGTCACAGTGTGAACACTTGTGAGGATTTTCTCCAGTGTGGATCCTCTCGTGTGTTTTCAGAGATGATAAGTAACTGAATCTCTTGTCGCAGTGTGAACACTTGTAAGGTTTTTCTCCAGTGTGCATCCTCTCATGTGTTTTCAGAGATGATGAGTGACTGAATCTCTTGTCACAGTGTGAACACTTGTAAGGTTTTTCTCCAGTGTGGATCTTCTCATGTGTTTTCAGATGTGAAGACAGACTGAATCTCTTGTCACAGTGTGAACAGTTGTAAGGTTTTTCTCCAGTGTGGATCTTCTGATGTGTTTTCAGATTTGCTGACTGACTGAATCTCTTGTCGCAGTGTGAACACTTGTAAGGTTTTTCTCCAGTGTGAATCCTCTCATGTGTTTTCAGGTTTGCTGATTGACTGAATCTCTTGTCACAGTGTGAACACTTGTAAGGTTTTTCTCCAGTGTGAATTCTCTGGTGTATGATTAAATCTTTCCCTGTTGCAAAAGTCTTCTCACACTCAAAGCACACATACTCTCTCACAGCAGTGTGAGTTTTCTGATGTTTATGTAAATATGACAGCTGTGAAAAACTCTTTCCACACACAGAACATGAATGTGGCTTGTCCTTCATATGAATTCTCAGGTGTGTCTTCAGGTCTGATGCCCAGAGAAATGCTTTGCCACACTGATCACATGAGAACGGCTTCTCTCCGGTGTGGATCCTCATGTGAGCTTTAAGGTTTCCTAATTGACTGAAATTATTCCCACATTGTTTGCATGAGAACGGCTTCTCTCTGTGGATCATCATATGTCTCTCACGATTGTATTTGTGTGTGAAACTCTTTCCAAACTGAGTGCAGGTGAATGATTTCTTGGCTTTTGTTTTCTTTAAATATGTCTTTTGAGTCTTTGAGTTGAAAGGATTTTCTTCAGGTTTGACATGATGTTCCACCTCCACTTCACTCAGTTCTCCACTCTCCTCCTCCACTTCACTGAGTGAAGAACTGGGTGAAGTGGAGGAGGAGAGTGAAGAACTGAGTGAAGAACTGAGTGAAGTGGAGGAGGAGAGTGAAGAACTGGGTGAAGTGGAGGAGGAGAGTGAAGAACTGGGTGAAGAACTGAGTGAAGAACTGAGTGAAGTGGAGGAGGAGAGTGAAGAACTTTCTTCACTCTCCTCCTCCACTTCACTCAGTTCTTCACTCTCCTCCTCCACTTCACCCAGTTCTTCACTCTCCTCCTCCACTTCACCCAGTTCTTCACTCTCCTCCTCCACTTCACTCAGTTCTTCTCTCTCCTCCTTCACTTCCATCAGTTCTTCTCTCTCCTCCTTCACTTCTCTCAGTTCTTCTCTCTCCTCCTTCACTTCACTCAGTTTTTCTCTCTCCTCCTTCACTTCACTCAGTTCTTCTCTCTCCTCCTTCACTTCTCTCAGTTCTTCACTCTCCTCCTTCACTTCTCTCAGTTCTTCTCTCTCCTCCTTCACTTCTCTCAGTTCTTCACTCTCCTCCTCCACTTCTCTCAGTTCTTCACTCTCCTCCTTCACTTCTCTCAGTTCTTCTCTCTCCTCCTTCACTTCTCTCAGTTCTTCTCTCTCCTCCTTCACTTTACTCAGTTCTTCGCACTCCTCATTCACTTCCATCAGTTCTTCTCTCTCCTCCTTCACTTCTCTCAGTTCTTCTCTCTCCTCCTTCACTTCACTCAGTTCTTCTCTCTCCTCCTTCACTTCCATCAGGTCTGAAATGAAAGAAAAAAAAAATCAAATTTTCAAATGTTGTAAAATCTAAATAATTCAAAGAGATAAATATGAATGGAGATAAAAAAAAATATTCCAGAAGTAACAGACAACTGCTATAAACTACTACAATAATTTATGTATTTCTATAAATCAATTATACATCCACGAAACTTCCCATTAATGAGATACACTGATCTTCCAGTTATTATGTTGAAAATCATTATAGACAAAAATCCCATGTTTCTGTATTGAGAACTATTAACCCTCTGAGACCTAAGGGTATTTTTACAATAAATTTTCCGTCTGGTGTCATTTACTAAAAAAGCTTGTAAAATATCAACCCTTTGGTGCACAGACAATTGACACACCTCTTTTTTTTCAGGACAAATTGAACTTTCAGCATATTTGTGTTACATTGATGTCACCTGAATGTAAAATAAGTTATGGGACCATAAAGACAAATGAAAAAATAAATCGGAAATGGAATCACTCAAATATTTATTGAAATCACACACAAATAAATAAAAGCTAAGCAATTTTCCTCTGGAAAATAGTTTGTTCATGTCTTTGGAATCCTGGAGCACAGGAATAAACATTATAACTTGTACAGAACAAAAACTATTGACATTTTTCCAAAAGAAGTCCAGGCGTTTGGGGCCTCATGAAATTCACTGGTGCCAAGCCTCAAAACAGTTCCTATCAGCAATCACACAGAGGGCCATTTATTTTATTTATTCTTTTATTTATTATGTTCTTTTTATTCTTTTATAATACATTTATACTACTATAATACTTTTTTACAGTAAATAAATAAATGGCACTTCAGCTGGGTCTATCCTGGTAATCTAGTTCCTCATCTGTCAAAAAGCTCTGTTCTCCTGAAAATCCATCATCCTGCAATGCACCAAAATAGACCAGCGCTTTATTTACGTCCATTTCGCTGTGTTTCTCTGTGAATCGCGCGTCTCCGTGCGTCTCTATCTCTCTCCACTATATCAGCGCTTGGTTCATGCGTAATGACGCACACCAATGTTTACAACGGATCAGCCTGTAATTGGTCAAAAACCATCACGTGAAAACATCACGTGATATCCAGAATGGCCGCTAGCGTCGAGTTAGCGGCAAAAATGACCAAATATTTATGAATTATGGACTTCAAGATTATCAAAGTTTGACATAAAGCGTTTGGATTTATTGCTGAAAACCTCTGAAAGGAAGCACAAGTTCCAGGCTGGATAGAAAACCTTCTGTAAAGGCTAGAAAGACCCGAAAGACATCCCCGTGATGGCTAGCTCGTTACCTTTCTGCTGGAAAAAACGGTAAGAAAATCGATAAATCTGTCATCGAGTTATGTAAACATTTATCGGAGGTGACGTGTGACGTCGTCGACGATGCCGTCGGGCTCAGGGGGTTAAAGTGTTAATTGCAGGTTACATTTTTCACGAAGATAATACATTGTGGTTTTGCCATGTTTTTTTTTTTTTATACCAAAATGGTGGGTATAATATGAAACGTTGGTACTTTTTTCTCCCCTCCCTTCCACTAGGCTGGGCGTGACGTAATAAAAGGGACTCCAAGCCAAGAGTTACAGTTAGTCTAACGGCAAGTCGGCTAGCCACGATTTCTGGCAATTTCCTCCCCTCTCTCACACCAGACTGGTTCAAATTTGTAGGGCTGTGGTCCATCAAGAATTTGATGGTTTCCCACCTCCTCGGTCTCCCGGTCGTTCTCCATAGTCAAGCCACAAACAGTAGGAATCTAGAAAAGTATGGGTTGCTAGTAGGGTTGCCACCTGTCCTGGTTTTACCGGGATTGTCCTTCTTTTAATAACCTGTCCTGGGAAATTTAAGCACTCTCCCGGGACACTGAATGTCCCGGTTTTCGAAAGGCTACGTGAATATGTATGTTCAAACTGTTTAGTGCGGTCGCATGCACGACAGAGAGGGAGAGACGGAGCCGGCTCTCCCTATAAGCCCCGCCGCCACTAGGGGCCCCCTAACTACAGATGGTAGTTACCAGTGTCGCCGCTCAAAGTGTGGGAGGAAAATGCCTTTATTTCTTTATTCGTTCATGGTGAGTCCGCATCGTCAACTTCATCTTTGCAGCGACACAGTGAAAACACAAGTTTCTTAATAAATTAATATTTAAATTAAATGTCTCCTTGCCATTTTTTTACACATTCACTTTTGCCGGCTCATTATTTGATCATTATCCTGTATAGCCTATTTAACTTATTAAATCAATATAAAGGGGCGATTTGTCCACTAATGGCTTAATAAACGTCTCAGGTTACGACTGTAACCTATGTTCCCTGAGAACAGGGAACGAGACAATACGTCGAATGACACTATGGGGAACGCCTCAGGCGTGAGAGGTGTCTGAAATCAAATATCAACTCACAGTAATCATGTTGACTGGCGACAGCCCGTGCATCATCAGCTTGAATGATGAGCGCGTCAATCTGTATGTATAAGAAGGGCACCTTGAAACCGTAACATCCTATCGTCTGAAGGGACTGTTGCAGGCAGGCCCCGAGGCATGGCAAAGAGACTATTGTCTCGTTCCCTGTTCTCAGGGAACATAGGTTACAGTCGTAACCTGAGACGTTCCCTGTCGAAGGGAACTCAACAATACGTCGAATGACGCTATGGGGAACGAAATACCCACTCTGCCATGCTGTGGGGAGTGCATGCCGAAAAGGCAGTGACATCTGTCAGAACCAGTAATTCCAAGGAACACTGAAACCACTCACCCTATGTCACATCAAGCTGTCAGTGACAGCACTCCCTACCGGTCATAGCCCAAGGTAATGAACCAAGAAAAAACAGAACGTAATCACGTGGGTAAATCTGGGCCAGCTCAAAGGCTTTAGGACCACAACGTCCAAATAGAAGGGGTCCCTTCTAGGGAGTATGGCTAGGGGACCAAAGAGACCCCCAGCCAGTCACTATTGAGGAGAACACTCCTCCTGAAATGCCCCCAGGCTGGCCTGGTGATCTGTACTAAGACACACAGTCTGGCCATAGCCTGTCCGTCCAAGACAGAACCTCTGCAAATTGCCTAGGAAAGGCATCCAAAAACTGAAGGCCTGCGAAGCTGGCAGAAACCATAGAGTTTTGGATCACAGAGACGGGATCCTCCGGAGAGTGTGACTCAACCTCAAAACAACGGGAATCGTTCACTCAATCCACGAGTTTCCACCCAGTGCTCGCTGTTGAGCACTGAGGAAGTAAGAGAGGGATCAAAATCAGGAAGGTCAATGAGACCTAAGATCAGATGACCCCCTGTGTGGGGAGCTCCGAAACATGAGGGCTCATGTCAGAAAGGCCGTACATTGTGCAGCCTGAAACCCAAGGACCACAGCATGTGGAAGCTCATCCCTCAGGAAAGCCAGAAGCCAATAACCCGACAGACCCATAATGTGGGATTACCTTCGAAAAAGGTCTAATGATTAGATCTAAAACCACCAGTTGTGGGAGATATCTTGAATAAGGGAAGTGCCTGTTGTAATGTATTGCGACAAAAGACACATCTAGAAGGGACCGAAGCGTACCACGCATGACCCTCACCCTAATAAATGGATTTTAGAAAGTACACAAGACATCTCGTTGTGTGACTTACCACAATAATAGGTGAAGTATGGGTTCGTGTACTTCACTCTGAATTCAGGAAGGCCTGTTGAGGCCTGTAACCTGGCGACCACAGTGTGTGGGAGCTCATGACTAGGAAGGCCTGGTAAAGCCTGTAACCTGGCGACCACAGTATGTAGGAGCTCATAACCATGAAGGCCTAGTGAGGCCTGGTAACCCAGCAACCACAATATGTGTGAGCTCATAACCAGGAAGGCCTGTTGAGGCCTGTAACCCAGCGACCACAGTGTGTGGGAGCTCATGACCAGGAAGGCCTGGTAAGGCCTGTAACCTGGCAACCACATCAGGTGGGAGCTCGTACTCGGGAAGATCAGTGAGACCCAGCCTGGTGACCACAACCTGTGGGAGCTTACTCCACCAAGTGGAAGTTAGCCAGAGAAGGGTGTCCTCGTAGCCTACTTAAGCGACTGGACGTCTCTTAAACTGGGACCCGAGGAAAAACCAGGGTCTGAGCTACATAAGAAGGGACCGAAGCGTACCACGCATGACCCTTACAATAAGAAATACATTTTAGCAAGTACACATGACATCTTGTCGTGTGACTTACCACAATAAGAGGTGAAGTATGGGTTTGTGTACTTCACTCTGAACCACAGTATGTGGGAACTCATAACCAGGAAGGCCCCTTTGAGGCCTGTACTCTAGCGACCACAATGTGTGGGAGCTCATAACCAGGAAGGCCTGGTGAGGCCTGTAACCTGGCGACCACAGTATGTGGGAGCTCATAACCAGGAGGCCTGGTGAGGCCTGTAACCTGGCGACCACAGTATGTGAGAGCTCATATCCTGGTGACCACAGTATGTGGGAGCTCGTAACTAGGAAGGCCTGGTGAGGCCTGTAACCTGGCGACCACAGCATGTGGGAGCTCATAACCAGGAGGCCTGTAACCTGGCGACCACAGCATGTGGGAGCTCATAACCAGAAAGGCCTGGTGAGGCCTGTAACCTGGCGACCACAGTATGTGAGAGCTCATATCCTGGTGACCACAGTATGTGGGAGCTCATAACCAGGAAGGCCTGGTGAGGCCTGTAACCTGGCGACCACAGTATGTGAGAGCTGATATCCTGGTGACCACAGTATGTGGGAGCTCATAACCAGAAAGGCCTGGTGAGGCCTGTAACCTGGCGACCACAGTATGTGAGAGCTCATATCCTGGAGGCCTGGTGAGGCCTGTAACCTGGCGACCACAGTATGTGAGAGCTCATATCCTGGTGACCACAGTATGTGGGAGCTCGTAACTAGGAAGGCCTGGTGAGGCCTGTAACCTGGCGACCACAGCATGTGGGAGCTCATAACCAGGAGGCCTGTAACCTGGCGACCACAGCATGTGGGAGCTCATAACCAGAAAGGCCTGGTGAGGCCTGTAACCTGGCGACCACAGTATGTGAGAGCTCATATCCTGGTGACCACAGTATGTGGGAGCTCATAACCAGGAAGGCCTGGTGAGGCCTGTAACCTGGCGACCACAGTATGTGAGAGCTGATATCCTGGTGACCACAGTATGTGGGAGCTCATAACCAGAAAGGCCTGGTGAGGCCTGTAACCTGGCGACCACAGTATGTGAGAGCTCATATCCTGGTGACCACAGTATGTGGGAGCTCATAACCAGAAAGGCCTGGTGAGGCCTGTAACCTGGCGACCACAGTATGTGAGAGCTCATATCCTGGTGACCACAGTATGTGGGAGCTCATAACCAGGAAGGCCTGGTGAGGCCTGTAACCTGGCGACCACAGCATGTGGGAGCTCATAACCAGAAAGGCCTGGTGAGGCCTGTAACCTGGCGACCACAGTATGTGAGAGCTCATATCCTGGTGACCACAGTATGTGGGAGCTCATAACCAGGAAGGCCTGGTGAGGCCTGTAACCTGGCGAACACAGTATGTGGGAGCTCATAACCAGGAAGGCCTGGTGAGGCCTGTAACCCGGCAACCACAGTATTTGGGAGCTCATAACCAGGACCTGAGATCCTGTCTCCCGCAGGAGTTACGCCTCCTGCGTGTCCTACTCCCCCTACTGGGAGGAGGGGGTGCACGGGAAGCCACAATGGTCTTCTGGCCTGCCTGTGGCTGGGCAGAGGACCTCCCCGTTATGCAGCTCTTAAACCCCGCAGAATGCGCCCTCCCTGAACTTATCGACCACCGTCTCGACAGAAGGGCCGAAAAGCTCGGAAAACGAAACCGGCGAATCGAGGAGAAAAGTTTCCTTTCTCCCCGATGTCAGCCTGGTAGAGCCACAGATGTCTCTCCGTGGCCACCATATCACAGATGGAACAAAAGATTGCTTGGTGGCCCGGAGTCCCGCAGCAGATCGGTCTGGTAGGCCTGAAAACCACAAGGAAAGGGAACAACTTCGAAAACAAAAGGGAACAACTACTAGTTGACTAGAAAACACTTTAGTCGGAGGTAGCCGTTATTCCACATATTTTCGAGCCACCAGAGCGGAATGAGCGAGCCGAGGAATATTCAGAAATGCGCTCTCCGCTCACATGCTCTGATCGGAACAAAGGAATATTGATATTAATAATTATTCATTAGTTTATATCTCATACACTGCCCATCATTTTAATCCCATATCAAACACAGTTATGTTATGTCTATTTTCATTTTAAATAGACCTGCCTTGCCAAATGGATTTCTCTTCTTTTATTTTTTACATTTTGATAGCTGCACTTTTATGTTCTGTTTTTTGAATTCCACGCCAGTTATGAAACAGCTGCACTTTTATTTCTTTATTTTTTAACTTGCTGTTATGGTATTTGATGTAGATAGTTAATTTGTATTTAGATACTACTTGTACATCAGTAAATTAGAACATTTTAAGCTTGTTGCGTATGTCATTAGCATTGTGTTGGGGTGATGGGGGCAGTGGGGCTTAAGTCAAACAACCATGTAAAAACGTTGTAATCCAGGTTGCTGGTCCCTCTTATGACGTTATCACCAAGTAATTGTAAAAAAAAATATGTGACCTTTGAAGAAACCCCAATAAATGTTATTTTGACGTATTTTAAGAGAAATGTTGACATAAGCCGCGTTTCCACCGCAGGAACTTTCCCCAGGAACTAGGAACTTTGGGGTGGTACTCGGTGTGTTTACACCGCAGGAACCAGGGTCTAAATGAAGTTCCGGGTAAAAATTTCCTCCCCAGAAAGTCCTGAAAAGTACTTTTTCAGAGTTCAGGAACTTTCGGGGTGGGACTTGTACGCTGAACATGCTGATTGGTTCTTACCAAGCTATTTTTTCTGCCCGATGGCGCGTTCGTCCCATCCAGCTCACGGTCAATGTCCGCTGATAACAAACGTCTACTTTTATATCTAGCATTATGAGCTTTCTGAATACGCTCACAAAAAAAAAAAAAAAAAAAAAAAATCGCACACAAAAAAGCAGCAAAGCTTGAATCTCCTCCATACAAAACTCAAAACAAACGTGTAGGCTAGGAAGAGCAATCGCACGCAGTTCAACGTCATCTTCCCGCCCTGGACCGGTACTTTAGTATGCGGTGTAAACGCAGTAAGCAAGTGGTCCGGGGAAAAAAAAGTTCCTGTGAAAAAAGTTCCTGGGACAAATAGTTCCTGGTAATTGCAGTGAAAACGCGGCTATACCTATTGAGTACTTTAATTTACACATTAATTTGTTGTGGTGGTTAACCTGCAATTTACAGTTTAAATGTGTTTGATCACATAATTATCTAACGTGATATGAACATTAAAATACACAATACTGGCATATTTTGACACCAACAGATTGATAACTAAATTACATTAAAATCTTTCTAAAACGTTTGAATTATTAAGGCCCGTTCAAGAAACAAAAGATCAATTGAATTTCCCTGCAAGAAAGAACACAAATGTTTGCAGTAAAGCGGAACAGATTGTACATTTTGAAATTATTATTATTTGTTATACAAGTCTGTAAAAATTTGCACAGTTTAGGTCAACGTTCTGATAACATTGTTAACAAATTGTAAACCATATATAAAATACATGTAAAATAAAGCTATTTAGTTTGACTTGATGTTGACAATTGATATGAAACTTTACTGACCATTTTTTGAAGAAAAAAAAAACTACTTTTGCAGCCATTTCATAGTTTATCTGTTTATCTAAAAGTTATTATACGCTTGAATGTTTCTAACATGAATGTTCTTTAGCATCATGAATGAATGAATAAAGAATAAACACCAACCTCTTTGTTCTTCAGCATCTTCAGTGTCTTTCATTCTGCAGGGTTCTGGATCACTCATGTTCTCACTGTCCTCTTTAATAAACTCAGTCTTTGCAGATTTCAGCTCTTCCTGATGCTCTGATGCTCGTCTTTACTTGTAGCTGATGGGAATTTACAGCATTTATTGGAGAATTACAGTTACAAGAGCTTCACTGATGATAAATTACAGTGGGAGGAGCTTCACTGATGATGAAATACAGTGGGTGGAGCTTCAATGATGATGTAATCTGCCAAAATTTCAAAGTTATTGAGTTTATTTTTATGCTCATGGACAACAAATTAAAATAATGTAAATTCTTCCAAATATAATTAATGATAAGAAAAAAAGTTGAAAGCATAAAAAGAAATAAACATAGGCTACATTATAGTGACCAACAAATTCTCACAGAGTTAAGTGTCAATTTACAGGAGATCTGAAGACATCAGCATAATAAAAGAGGAGAAAACAGGAACTATTGTCATGAAATAAAGAGTGTTTTAAGCAGATCTGTTAATATTGATGATCCTCAGACTATCAACACTCATTCAACAAGCCCTTCAGGATCATCAGCAGATCATCTCACTTTATTCTGAGTGTTTGCTCTTAGAAACACAATATTTGAGTCACGATAAATTATAAAAGCCTGTAAATCTGCTAAAGTATTTTGAAAGACGTTACTGTTTTTCACAATATAGGCCTTAACATGGATAAATCATCAATAACAAAATATGTCAATAACCTATCTTTACGATCCTCTACACGCAAATAACTACAACACCATAATATATGAATCTACATATAGTTGGACTTTATAATTACAATTAATTGCAATAAACAGAAGGGTCAAAAGTATGCACATTACTTACTCAAGTAAAAGAATAGATACTAGGGTTTAAAGTCTCAAAGCTTTTTACTCAAGTAAAAGTGTAAAAGTAGCCCACTGGTTTCAAAACTACTTTTAAGTATAAAAGTAAAAGTAATGTATGGATAAAAATTCCATTAAGGACAAAAGATAAGCTATATATTTCTAAAGGCCATAATGACTATAATGCTACAATAAAATGTTAGTTGAAAAATTTGGGATGCACTAGGGTACCTGTTTCAGTTTCTTTGTGGGGATATTTTGATCCTATAATGTAGTTGCAAACACACACACACGCTTTCTCTCTCTATTTAACACACTCTTCTCATCTTCTCTCTCTCTCACACACACACACACACACACGTCTACCTCACACTAACACACACTTTTCTTTCTCTCTCTCTCTCACACACGTCTATCTCACACTAACACACACTTTTCTTTCTCTCTCTCTCTCTCTCTCACACACACACTAACGATCATCTTTGCCACTTATCCCGCGATTGTCATACAGTATAGTAAAAACGGCTGTCCTCAAAAACAATATTTGACGCGATTTGACCCGTATTCTTGAGCAGAAAACTGTTGATTTCTCCGTCGCTTACCTCGTCTCTAGGTTTCCCTCAGATGAGTTTTGCCGCTTTGCACAACCAAATATCACTGCAGCCTCTCACAGGTTAGAAGGAAAACACAAAGCCAATCAGTTTAGCGATGTGTGTTGACTCTATTATTATCCGTGCGTGTTATTGGTCAATTTTTTGAATGATGACAAGCCAGAATGACAACATACAAGAAATGTGAGTAACGACGAGGCTATTTTTAAAACGTAGGAGTAGAAAGTACAGATAATTGCGAGAAAATGTAAGACGTAAAAAAATAGAACCTACTCATTCGATTTCTTTTTTAATCAAACTAGCTAATCAATAGAATATATGAATAGTCCATTTAACATTTGTAAAGTTAGTTTGTAACAAAATTTGAGCCGTTAATGTATGTTTTTTCGCCCTTTTGCAAACATCTTTTTTTCTTTTTCTTTTTGAAAGATCATGACGTGTTATCGGGCCTATACTGTTGTATTCCATGGTACACCATACATCGATGGAGTCGCCCCTGCCGAACCCAGCAACATTTCATTTTATGATTATCCAAAGCGTCTTACCGTTTAATTGAGGTGTTTTTTTAATGCAATTGAAGACGAAAAGTAAAGTCATGAATACAATTCTTTCTTCCTTTTTTCTTTACACCTAGTGATGTTTAGGTGATCGTTAAATAAAGTACAGAATTGTTTATTATTGGTGTTGTCTATTCTTATTTGTTTTCTTTGCATTCAAAATATCAAAAAACAGGTTTTGTAATGTTAGCATGTAATGTATATTAGACCATTATAGGTTGAACTGAAAGAGAAATTGGAATTTGAATAAAAAAACAAAACATTGTAATATACAGACTGATCTCATGAAGTAGCGCGTGTATGACACGCCAATTCGTATTTCCATTTTTGGCGTGCTATCAACACGCATAATCGCTTTTCAGCGTATTTATGAACGCCGTTGACTTAACGTTATTACTGTATATATAAATATATGACTTACCTCAACCCCGTCCCTAAACCTAACCCTCACTGAAGTTAATGGCATTTATGACTGTTCCCTTACCATCCTAGGAAAGAAAAACATAGTTCCCCAGGGGCCTCATGTATCAACACTGCGTACGTACAAAAACACGGCGTACGCCAGCTTTCACGTTCACGGCCAGATGTACTAACAGTGAAATTAACGGAAGAATGTGCGTTCCTCCAAGTAAACTTCATGTCTGGCGTACGTACATTTGCCTTGATTTGTCCGTTGGCGACTCCTAGAGGCAATAAGGTGAAGTGGCAAACATTACACTACGAATTGTTCTATCGCACCACCAGCTGTCAGATATTGCTTAATGATATGTCAAATAATGTATCAATTACAAATTATGTCACACGAGTCTTATTAAAATATTCTATTATGCAATAAAGTAAGAACATAAAGCATGTGCAAACCCGTCTAGCAATGGCAGCGTTGGCTTTACTAGGAAATAAAAAATAAACTTCATTATTTCGGTCAGTAAAGGTAAAAAAAAAAGAAAGTAATATTTTTATTCAGCCAGGACATATTGAATTTGTTTAAAAGTGCCCGTACATGCATTTATAATGTTAAAAACGATTATAAGATTTCTATATGTGTTTGATTTAAGTTTTTATTCATTAAAGAATCCTGAAAATACTATATCACGGTTTCCATGAAAATATGAAGCAGAAGCACAGCTGTTTTCAACACTGATAATAATCATAAATGTTTCTTGATCATCAAATCATCATATTAGAGTGATTTCCGAAGGATCACGTGACACTGAAGACGCGTAATGATGCTGAAAATTCAGCTTTGATCACAGGAATAAATTACACTTTCACATATATTCACATAGAAAACATTTTCAGTGGAATTTCATTTCTTGCAGGTTTCTTTAGCCATTTCCTAGCAGGTTTCTTTTGCCAAATTGGACTATTACCATATTTAAATTAATTTAATTGAGGGAGGAGACTGGGTGGGGCGTTGTGCTCGTGCATGTGCGCTCAATTTTACGTTAATTGGGATGTACAAAGAGAATATGCGTGGGATCCTTCGTACGCAGACATTCATACATCTGTTTTTTTTTGTGCGTACGCACATTTACAGCTTTGATCGTACGCTATGTTTTAGTATGAATTCAACGCAAGTCTTTGTACATGAGGCCCCTGATGTAGATCTACATTTTGCTTTGTTTTGGTCGGACATTTGACGGCGTGTATGGACACGCAGAACGACGCGGACGTTAATGGTGTAGACAAACACGCATACACGCGGATAGCTCAAAATGCGTCGAGATAACACGCCACTTGACTCGAAATTGGCGTGTATGTTTACGCAAAAGTCATGATGTCATGTTGGTAATATAATATCACATACTATTTTTCAGAAGATAGTTCAATGTGTAATTGTATCCCTTCCATCAGTAACATAATTATATTTTTGGCACATGCATTACGCAGGGAAGGCAAATATTTATTTGAATAACTAAATAAAACAAGACCATAATATTGCATCCCATTGTTTTTAAATGCATTTGGATAAGGGTGCGCTGTCTCGTAAACAAGCGTTCTGAGAACGCGGGACTCTGTGTGTCAAAACAAACGTTGATTTATTGATTGATTGAAGTTTATTGCGAGCAAAAAAAGAAAGAAAAGAATATAGACATATTTATTAATGAAATAAAAAACAACAGTTTATTTTTAGTTTAATTCTTTATTTACTTTCTTTATAAGAGTATTATAATTATCAGTAAGAGGGTGCAAATGTTAAAAATAGCGCTATAGCGGGAGGGGGAAAACGGAAAAGCTACACTCCTAAAATGATGTATAATCTGACTAGTCAAAGCCCTTGCTGTCTGCGTCGCCTCGAAGCGTAGTTATAAATTTTTGGAGGTGCACGTCGAGCTACGACGGAGGTGTCAGCGAGGGGTTCGCGTCGACGGATAGGGGTCTGCGGGGGTACGCCGTCGATTCGACGTAGAAGCATAAAACAGGCTTTACAAATAACGGAAGACTGTTCCATAATGGACCGGCCACTGAAAACGCACGATCACCTCGCAACTTCGCAATCTTGATCTTGGATATGACAGTATAATGCTGTCTGAGGTTCGCAAGCATCTTGTTGAATTTTTCATATTTAAAAGATCTGACCGATAGGATGGTGCAAGACCAATCAAAGCCTTAAAAACTAGCAACAAATTTTAAAATTCAACTCTATAACACACTGGCAACACATTTAGAGACAATACAATTTTATTAGAGAGATTAAAATTGTAAAATGTAATAAAATGAGTAATGTGTTCTCGTCTATGAATCCCAGTTAAAAACCTGACTGCGGCATTTTGGACGATCTGAAAACGTGATATGGAGGATTGGGGTAACCCAATATACAGTGAATTGCAATAGTCCAAACGAGATAAAACAACAGCATGTGTGACAGTTTTAAGATCGTTAAAAGATAGAAAAGGTTCAACTTGACAGAAGTTTAAGATGGAAAAAACAAGACTTTACCACAGAATTTATATGTTGGTCAAACTTGAGAGATGAATCAAAAATAACTCCCAAGTTTTTCACAGTGGGTTTGATATAAGAGTCTAAATAATCGTAGTCAGTAATCGGGTTTCCTTTTCCAACAGAGGGGCCATAAACAATTGCTTCAGTCTTACTCTCATTTAAGTGCAGAAAATTCGAGGACATCCAGGATAGTACGTCAGATAAACAGGCAAGCAAAGTTTATAGGCCTTGCTTGACATTATGTTTCAAAGGGAGATATATTTGGGTGTCATCTGCATAAAAATGAAGACACCTAAAAATTTAGCCTAGTTGTAACATGTATAGTGAAAATTAAATGGGAGCCAAAATATACCCTTGAGGAACACCACAGGTAACTCGTGCTACAGATGATACAGCGCGACAAATACCCACTGAAAAGGTCTATTACTAAGATAAGATCGAAACCAACTAAGGGCAGTTCCTTGAATGCCCACACACTTTTCAAGGCGCGATAAAAGAATATCATGATCAACTGTATCAAATGCCGCACTCAAATCTAATAGCACAAAATTGCTGAGTTCCCAGAGTCAACAAATAATAAAATATCATTTAAAACTCTTAGAAGTGCTGACTCAGTACTATGTTTTTTACTAAATCCAGATTGAAAATTTTCTGCACTACTGTTTGTTTCCAGAAAGTTCTGCAATTGCACAGATACAGCATTTATGCAATGAAAAGTACATTTGAAATTGGCCTAAAATGTGATAGGATAGTTGTATTCACACCTGGCTTTTTCAAAAAAGGTTTCACCATCGCATGTTGGCAAAAGGATGGAACAATCCCAGAGAGATTGCTCTTATTTATAATTGTTAGCATCCAGTCCCCAACACAATCAAGTACCAATTTAAAATATAGCTGCAAGCAGCGATGACGGGCCCAAGCCAGTGGCACCGCAACCCTGGTTCCTTTAGTTACCAAAAGGCACTGGGGTGGCGGTGCCACCAGCTTTCGCCCTTTCATCGCTGCTCGCAGCTATATTTATGTGTATATATATATGTGTGTGTGTGTGTGTGTGTGTGTATATATATATTTTTTTAAATGATTAATCTGATCTGTCATTTCGACTAGTCAGGAAGACGTTGTTGATATCTACAATTTTAATTCTGGATAGTCAAACTTAGCTTTTACATGTTAAAAGGGCTTGCCATACAGAGACGTAGGCTCAGAGAGAGGCTCACCATATTCAAACCAAATTATCTGACTTTCTGTTGGTCGGAGCTAATAATTGTAAATTAGAAAGTTGTCTGGCTCGGGGAGAACAATATACATACCGATTTTTGTAACTGTAGATAAAACTAATCCCCCCACTTTTGCCAAAAGGTGGCGCTACTGAGCCCTCACCACGCCCGTTTCTGAAACTTTGCACATGTCCACTGGCTAAGAAATGTGATGTGTCTGTCGAGTTTTATGCAATTTCAAGCATGCTAAGAGTTTCAAAAGCATCAAACAAGAATATTAAAGATTGATGCGTTGCCACGGCAACAGTATCTAAGATATCAATAATCTTTTCACAGGTCTATATCTGCCGTGTGTTTACATTATACACAAAGTTTGAAGCAAATCGGGTAAAAATAAGAGGGTTATTTCAAAGCATTTTAAAAGTGAAACACTTCCTGCTGCTAGTAGGTGGCACTATAACTTTGACTCACAATAGTCACATCCATGTGACCGGCCTCTTACAACAAATGCACTGCTAAAGTTTCACCAAGGTCAGTTAATTTATAAAGAAATTAACACACTTCCTGTTTCTCTTTTCGCGCCATAATTTCGTTTCCTCGCCACGGCCAAACCGTTCGAGATATCAAAAATCCCCTCGCAAACTTTCATCCTCAATGTCTTGACTTCATGCTGACCGAGTTTTGTGCCATACGTTTGAATTCTCTAGGAGGAGTATTTCAAATTCCATTGCATGCGTTTTCCAAACAATCCCAAATAGCCGACTTCCTGTTGGGCTGGGGTAAAAAGTAAGAGTGTGAAGTATATATGAACTGATGAGATCTATATGTGTAGCGAGTTTCATATTATTACATGCAAGCGTGTTTGATTTATGAACCAAGTTTTCGGAGCCCGTTGCGGGGGGCGCTGTCGAGCCCCCCTGCCACTCCTGGGTACCAGCTTCAGCCCGGCCCTGATGGCCGCGGGTTCTGACCCATGTGCAAAGTTTCAAGAGTTTTCGAGCATGTTAAGGGCCCCAAAAGTGTCAGAACATTTAAAAAAATGCATCCTAAGGAAAACAAAAGGGCCTTCGCCCTTTCGGGGCTTCGGCCCTAAGAATTGAGTCTGAATAATATCACATGCTGAGGTGGTAGGCTTCAGCTTAGCAACTGAATCCATTAAACCCAGCAATGTGATCAGTTCAAATGAGTTTACAAAACTTAGTGGGAATTAAATCAACAGGGTAATCAGTACACGGAATGATGGACTGTCTAATTGTATTTATTTTAATGGGCCATTACCGGAGAGGCACACCACAATCATTAGCCTAACATATTTGTGCATTTCATGGTATATTCACACATTTCAGCACATTTACAACTGATATGATAATAAGGCAGCATTTAAAATAGTCAAAATATAATCTAACACCAACTAGGCCAATTTTCTAAAATAATTTCAAAATTCTAGCTTTCATTCATAATGATCAAAACATATCATTGACACATACAAATATAAATTTCCTAACCAAGGGGTTTACAGTGTGTAGCATATGCATAGATGGCTTAACTCATTATCTTGTGAATAGCGCGCTCCGTGAGTAGGCATGAACAAATTAAAGTTAATGAGCTCGTAAGGAGCTCAACTGAAATCGCTCTTTACTTGCAGATTATTGAAGTGGAGAATATTTGATTTTTATATAAATTACTTCATTTAAAAGATGCAATCTCAAGCTTTATGCCCATGGGTATGTTTGCCTGTTTGGCTGAATTTTCGCGGAGTTACAGATTTTTTACGAAAGCATTTGAAATTGGAGTTCACTGAGAGAGAGTGCAGAACTCACATCATGTTAATTTTTCTTTATTTGGCAAAAAGCAAAACACTTTATTTGTATTGTGAGCATAAAGAAAAAAAAAGAAACTAAACAGGATTGATTGACGTATAACACGAAAATGAAAAATCTAAACTAACGGAGCATTTTAAGTTTATTTTGCATTGCTAAAAAAAAAAAACGAGCAAAACGTGGGGGTGTGTTTTTGGTGAAGGAACACATAACTTCTCACATTTCATAATTTCTTTTAGCTTTTCATCATAGTTGGGAGAATGAGACCATTTTACCAGGTGCACTGTGACGCTTTAAAAGACACCAAACATGAATAGTTTAATTTTAAACACACATAACATTGCATAAGTTTTTAGTGTTTTTCAGGTAAAGAGGAGGAGGGGGTGTGGGTGAGACAGTGTGGGTGAAGTGTAAACTGCACTGTGTGCTGTGTCTCCAAAGTTCCTGTTAACATATGCAAGAGGCAGTTCAAGTGTTACTTCCCAGGAGGACCTTTTGTCACATTGATGGGTCGATCAGACACACTGGCACCAGCCTTACAAAAGACAACTGGAACCTTTTCTGAAGGTGAAAAAGCAGCTTTTGTTTCTCAGCACATAAAGATGAACTACTTACTGCCATATCAGACTGTAGTGATGTGGTTTCTCAACTGCATGGATCTTCATGTGTTGTTTCAGGTGACTTTTAAAAGAGAAACTCTTTCCACACTGATCACACGTGTGCGGCTTCTCTCTGCTGTGGATCATCTCATGTGTTTTCAGATAGGATAACAGAATGAATCTCTTGTCACAGTGTGAACACTTGTAAGGTTTTTCTCCAGTGTGGATCTTCTCATGCGTTTTCAGATATCCTGACACACTGAATCTCTTGTCACAGTGTGAACACTTGTAAGGTTTTTCTCCAGTGTGGATCATCTCATGTGTTTTGAGATATCCTGACTGATTGAATCTCTTGTCACACTGTGAACACTTGTAAGGTTTTTCTCCAGTGTGGATCATCTCATGCTTTTTCAGAGTTGATGACTGACTGAATCTCTTGTCGCAGTGTGAACACTTGTAAGGTTTTTCTCCAGTGTGGATCATCTCGTGTGTTTTCAGATATGATGACCCACTGAATCTCTTGTCACAGTGTGAACACTTGTAAGGTTTTTCTCCAGTGTGGATCATCTCGTGTGTTTTCAGATATGATGACTGACTGAATTGCTTGTCGCAGTGTGAACACTTGTAAGGTTTTTCTCCAGTGTGGATCATCTCATGTATTTTCAGATATGATGACAGACTGAATCTCTTGTCACAGTGTGAACACTTGTAAGGTTTTTCTCCAGTGTGGATCATCTCATGTGTTTTCAGAGATGATGACAGACTGAATCCCTTGTCACACTGTGAACACTTGTAAGGTTTTTCTCCAGTGTGGATCATCTCATGTTTTTTCAGATATGACAGACTGAATCTCTTGTCACAGTGTGAACACTTGTAAGGTTTTTCTCCAGTGTGGATCATCTCATGTCTTTTCAGATGTGTTGATCGACTGAATCTCTTGTCACAGTGTGAACACTTGTAAGGTTTTTCTCCAGTGTGGATCTTCTCATGTTTTCTCAGAGATGATAACTCACTGAATCTTTTGTCACAGTGTGAACACTTGTAAGGTTTTTCTCCAGTGTGGATCCTCTCATGTATTTTCAGGGTTACCGGCCGATTGAATCTTTTATCACAGTGTGAACACTTGTAAGGTTTTTCTCCAATGTACATTTTCTGGAGCCATTTCAACTTGTTCTCTCCGGTGTGGATCCTCATGTGAACATCAAGACTTTGGTTGCTTTTGAGACTCTTTCCACACTGAGTGCAGGTTGTAGATTTCTTAGCTCTTCTTTTCTTTAAAAAGGTATTTTTTTTAGTCTTTGAGCGACTCAAAGGTTCACTCAGTTCTTCTCTCTCCTCCTTCACTTCTCTCAGTTCTTCTCTCTCCACCTTCACTTCAATAATTTCTTCTCTCTCCTCCTTGACTTCACTCAGTTCTTCTCTCTCCTCCTTGACTTCACTCAGTTCTTCTCTCTCCTCCTTGACTTCTCGCAGTTCTTCACTCTCCTCCTTGACTTCACTCAGTTCTTCACTCTCCTCCTTAACTTCACTCAGTTCTTCTCTCTCCTCCTTCACTTCCATCAGTTCTTCTCTCTCCACCTTCACTTCAATCATTTCTTCTCTCTCCTCCTTGACTTCACTCAGTTCTCTCTCCTCGCTCTCTTCCATCAGGTCTGACATGAAAGAAAAACTCATTTTAAAATGTCTAAATAATAAAAAGTTCAAAGAGACATATGGAGTGAATGAAGTTTAATAATAAATTTTAAATATTTTTATAATTTCATTATACGTCCCTGAAACTTTCCATGAATGAGGTACATTGATCTTCCAGTTATTTAAAAAAAAACATTATATGCACAATTCCCTTGTTTCTGTAGTGAGATCTATTAAATATCTTTGTTCAATGGCTCTTATCTAACATGATATGAACATTAAAATTAGGGTTGGGTTTTATCAAATACCAGTGCCTACTCGGTATTTTTTAAACGGTTCCTTAACGGTTCTTGAAACGGTACTTAAGACAACGAAACCGCGCACACTCAAAGTGTCAAAAAATAATACCCCTTTATTTACAGGGCCAAACTGGACACAATGTTAACTTATATCTTTAAACAATATAAATACAAGTAACATATGGTAATAATAAATATAACAATATAAAATAAAAATTCTCATTTACATAATATCAAATAAAAAAAATATTGTATCAAACAATGTAGTAATACTGGAGATTAATAGAGATTTCTACCACAGTAATCTAATATCGACATGGCAACAGGTTCCATGTTTTGTCTGCTTGAACCAGTCATGTGAGTTATCTGATCATTGTACTAGATTTACGCAGTGCTTAGCTTGGCGAGTTTGGTATTTCGTTTCCACAAACACAAATGTTTGCAGTAAAACAGAGTGGATTGAAAATTTTTACATTTTGGACAATTATTAAAAAAACTCAGGTCAAAATTCTAGCAACCTTTTACAAAAGTTTTTGTTATATAAAAATAAATAAAATAAAATTTAAAAAATTCGATTTAGTTTGGCCTGATCTTGACAATAAATCTGAAACTTCCCTTTACTGACCATTTGTTAAAAAAAAAAACTTTTGCAGCCATTTCATAGTTTAATTGTGTGCTTGAATGTTTCATGAATGTTCTTCGGCATCATGAATGAATGAAGAATAAACACCTACCTCTTTGTTCTTCAGGATCTTCAGTGCGTTTCATTCTGCAGGGTTCTGGATCACTCATGTTCTTACTGTCCTCTTTATTAAACTCAGTCTTTGCAGATTTCAGCTCTTCCTGATGCTTTGATGCTCGTCTTCACTTGATGCTGGTGGGAATTTACAGCATTTATTGAACAATTACAGTGGGAGGAGCTTCACTGATGATGAAAATAAAATATCTGCCAAAATCAAAAATATACAAGTTCCTGAGTTTGTTTTTATGCTCATGGACATTAGAATATAATAATGTAAATTATTCCAAATATAAAGAACAAGAACTGTAAGATTACCATTAGATGATAATCATTAGGGCATCAAGATGGGTAGTAGAAGGAGAGCGCTTGGCTTCTGGGATGAGACTACCACCAATCAGAGCATACATTGATGCATGACAACCACGACTACAACAGTGGCCTGCACTAATCGGTTATTGGGGAAGTTATTAGATAATATTGAATGGGCACAAATGCAATTTAAGCCATCTAAATCAAGGAGCATCTCGATAATTAAAGGATAGGTAGTAGATAAAACATTCTTCATTAATGGTGAGGCAATACCAACAGTTTCTGAGAAGCCAGTGAAGAGTCTTGGGAGATGGTACGATGGGATCTAAAGGACACAGTTCGAGTGGGAGAAGTTAGACGACAAGCAGTGGAAGGGTTGAAGAGCATAAACAGCTGTGCTCTGCCAGGCAAACTAAAGCTCTGGTGCTTTCAGTTTGGTCTACTGCCGAGGTTGCTGTGGCCACTGACAGTGTACGAGGTTTCTTTGACAACAGTGGATAAGCTGGAAGCGTTAATAAGTTCATACATCAGGGAAATGGTTGGGAGTTCCACGCTGCCTCAGCAGAGTAAGACTTTATAGTAAAGGAATATTGCAGCTGCCAGTCTCTGCTTTAACCAAGGAGTTTAAGTGTGCCAAGGTCAGTCTGGAAATGACCTTAGTAGAGTCACGTGACAAATGTGTAAGGGAGGCAGCCACTGTGTTCAAAACTGGTAGAAAGTGGTCAGCAAGGAAATCTGTAGTAGAGGCAAAGGCTGCCCTTCAAATTGGGGATATCGTGGGACAGGTACAGCATGAAATAGGGGGTTTTGGGCTCAGTTTAGCTCCACCTAAATGGCACAAGGCAGGCCCAGCTCAAAGGAGGAAGCTGGTAGTCAGCGAAGTGCGAAAGATGGAGGAGAGGATAAGGTGTATAAAGGCCATTTCCCAGGCCAAACAGGGAAAGTGGATGAGATGGCAGAGTGTGGAAGAACACAAGATGGGCTGGCAAGACCTTCGGTCAATGGTAGAGAGAAGGATCAGTTTCCTTATAAGGTCAACATAAGATGTTCTCCCATCACCACAGAACCTAAACCTCCGGGTAGGAGAGGATCCATCTTGTCCTTTGTGTTCATCAACTGCCACATTAAGGCACATTGACAGGATGTAACGTGACTCTTAGCCAAGGTCAATTTACTTGGCGCCATGACCAAGTACTGCGATGTTTGGCTTTAGCATTGGAAGGCAAGCGTAATATGACCAATAAGTTGCCACTTGTTCTAGCAAAACATTACATGCAGAAGACAATATTACTCTGCCAAGGTGAGCAACCACCAAGAAAAGGTGTTAACACCAATTCTCTCCCAGGACAACAGGAGGCTGCTAGGGACTGGAAGATGCTGGCTGATCAACAGCTTATTTTTCCACCTGAGATTGCAGCGTATGGTTGGGTTGCAGAGAGATTGTGGTTGGGTCTCAGCAGGAGGAGGGATGTAGAGGTCAGTAAGCTGGGCTGAGTTGAGTGGGGGATGGAGGGGGTGACTCTGGGACGCCAGAGTCACTGTCGAGCCCTCTTGAGGTGTCGTGGGCTAGTCGACAAAACACTGAGGATGGAAGGTGCCCATTTGAAGACCCTAGAGATGTCCCCTGCTCGGCTCAATCCAGACAGTTGTCGTGCTGGTCCACTAGGGAGACCACACCGTAGTTGCAACCATCATGTGCTCTGACGGCAAGTACACTGCAGCCGTTACTACCGGACAGAAGGGGAGTCACACCACCCTATGGAAAGAAGCGTACATGGATGGAGAAGAATAGTTTACTGTAAAACTACGTCTTAGTTTTGCTTATCTTGGCGAAAGCCTACAACAAATCAGCATGAAGTTTTAACATCTACTCTCATGAAATGGAAATCTTACTGTGGTCAGATGAACCAATGTTTCAGCTTAAATTTGGGAGAACATGGAATTGAGTTCTGAGTCACAAAGACGAAAGGCACCAACCAGACTTTCACCAGCGACAGGTCCAAAAGCAAACATCTGTCCTGGTATTGAGGTGCATTATTGCATGAGTAACTTGCATTATTGTGAAGGTACCATTGACATTAGGGGTGTAACGGTACATGTATTCGTATTGAACCGTTTCGGTTCAAGGCTTCCGGTTCGGTACGCATACAAACCGAACGATTGCTTTGACCATTTTTCTTGCCGGCAAAATTCGTGCTGACGCGGCCAACACAACGTTGCGCAACATCCAAATGGCAAGGGTAATGAAAGCAGAACGAAACTGCGCTCCTCGTTATGTGCTTCACGGATCGTTTATCAGTTCGGACCAGCAACATCTGTGCAGCGCGAGCCGATCTCGATCAAGCAACACTGTTACTACACAGCGCTAAGAGATCCGGTAAAGAAAACATTTGAATTCGCCACTGAGGTAATAACATCGCGCGAGATCTAGCGAGCAACATTCACATTTCTCTGTTATTAACCGTAGATCTCTATTAGATCAAACAGCGCTGTCATGAAAACCAGGAGAAACATTGTGCCATGAATGAACTAAGTTAGTAATACTTTCGTCCACAGACCAGCAACATTCACCATGGGTTTAATATAGTAACACTAACTGGAACCATGTTGGCTGGAATTGTGAAATGCTTTCAAGTACTTCACACATCTTTTTCCAGCACTTCAAAATTCAAATATTATATAAATAAATATATATTTAAATGTTATTTTTAATGTGATGACCAAAACATTATTTGTTCATCCTTCAAAGATGACCCCCATTTATAAACCTGAAAGTTTCAAGATCTAGAAAAACTCACACTTATTTAAAAATATTTTTTCTTTAACCCTCTGAGACCTAAGGGTATTTTTACAATAAATTTTCCGTCTGGTGTCATTTACTAAAAAAGCTTGTAAAATATCAACCCTTTGGTGCACAGACAATTGACACACCTCTTTTTTTTTAGGACAAATTGAACTTTCAGCATATTTGTGTTACATTGATGTTACCTGAATGTAAAATAAGTTATGGGACCATAAAGACAAATGAAAAAATAAATCGGAAATGGAATCACTCAATTATTTATTGAAATCACACACAAATAAATAAAAGCTAAGCAATTTTCCTCTGGAAAATAGTTTGTTCATGTCTTTGGAGTCCTGGAGCACAGGAATAAACATTATAACTTGTACAGAACAAAAACTTTTGACATTTTTCCAAAAGAAGTCCAGGCATTTGGGGCCTCATGAAATTCACTGGTGCCAAGCCTCAAAACAGTTCCTATCAGCAATCACACAGAGGGCCACATCACAGGTTTTGGATTTCTATTTTATTTATTCTTTTATTTATTATGTTCTTTTTATTCTTTTATAATACATTTATACTACTATAATACTTTTTTACAGTAAATAAATAAATGGCACTTCAGCTGGGTCTATCCTGGTAATCTAGTTCCTCATCTGTCAAAAAGCTCTGTTCTCCTGAAAATCCTTCAACCTGCAATGCAACAAAATAGACCAGCGCTTTATTTACGTCCATTTCGCTGTGTTTCTCTGTGAATCGCGCGTCTCCGTGAGTCTCTCTATCTCTCTACACTATATCAGCGCTTGGTTCATGCGTAATGATGCACACCAATGTTTACTACGGATCAGCCTGTAATTGGTCAAAAAACATCACGTGAAAACATCACGTGATATCCAGAATGTCCGCTAGCATCGAGCTAGCGGCAAAAATGACGGAATATTTATGAATTATGGACTTCAAGAGTATCAAAGTTTGACAAAGTGTTTGGATTTATTGCTGAAAACCTCTGAAAGGAAGCACAAGTTCCAGGCTGGATAGAAAACCTTCTGTAAAGGCTAGAAAGACCCGAAAGACACCCCCGTGATGGCTAGCTCGTTAGATTTCTGCTGGAAAAAACGGTAAGAAAATCGATAAATCTGTCATCGAGTTATGTAAACATTTATCGGAGGTGACGTGTGGCATCGTCGACGATGCCGTCGGGCTCAGGGGGTTAAACAAATAGGAAATTTCTCTGGCATTTCTTTCTTTTTGCTGTATCGAAAACGTACCGAACCGTGACTTTAAAACCGAGGTACGTACCGAACCGTGATTTTTGTGTACCGTTACACCCCTAATTGACATGGATGCATATATTTGAATTGCACAGAAATATAGCACCATCAAGATGACATCTTTCCCGGAAAGCAAGACAATGCCAGGCCTCATTCTGTACATGCTACAACAGAGTGGTTTCTAGACACTGCACCATAGAAGGGATGTGCCTGCCTGTTTACTGCAGTCCAGATATGTCTCTTATGGAAAATGTATGACCCATCATGAAAAGGAGAATCAGGCAATGATGAACACAGACTGTTGAGCAGCTGTCTTGTATCAGACAAGATTGGGCATACGCACTACCAAAACTCCAACAATTAGTATCCTCAACTCCCAAATGATTAAAAAGTATAATTAAAAGGAAAGGTGATGTGACGCAGTGGTAAACATGTCTCCCAACTATTTGGGGTGTGTTGCAGCCATCAAAAAATCTAAATTTGTTCAAAATACAATTAGCCTTTCGCCGAGCCCCGCCCCCCTTAGTTACTGTTGCTACCTCCGTCAAACAAATGGTCAAGCACGTGCAGCGTGACAGATTGCCATGACGGCAACGGGTATTCCCGTGCGTGTCAGTGACCTTTTTTGGAGCAATACCTCCGCGATATCAAGCAAGATCAAAGCCAAAGGGGTTACAGTATGCGGTGAAGGGATTTATTCAAAATATAAAAATAAGAAATGAATGAGACACGACTACTGTTGCGGCTAATGCTGCTTACCAGTCTCAAGAAAAATCAGAAAAACCCCATGACCATGCTACCTCAAATGCAACCAGCACAGCCTTGAAGATTTTATAAACTGGTTCAGTGGCTACTTGTTTAGAGTAAGAAATATATAACTTGAGCTGCATATTTAGTAATTTTGCCTCCGATACAGGAATACACATTCGCTTTAACAAGCAGGTTGTTCATTACCACAGCAACCGCTTGCATGTCATGCTGAATGCGATTTTCATGTTTAAAAATTAACTAACGTTATGCATAAGAGATGGAAAGAGGCAGAGAACCATATATTATTTAAGTTTATTTCTATTTGTAACGAAGTGGGGCGGTACTCACCGGTACGCAGTACCGGCACTTCTACATTTTACTCTTAAGCATACCTGCACTACTTGTTGGTGCGTACCGCTACTTCTCACATGTAGCCGGTACTCTATACCACTGACAGAAAAAGCGTGACGGCAACCGGAGCTGATCGCGGGATTCACGGCCACCGCAAGTGTGAGTAGCGCGTATCTTTTTCGGCTTGCATGTTAATCAATGAGTCCATTCACACTGCATCCGCGAGGAGGAGCGTTGCGTGAGCAGCAGTGAGTAGGGCTGTGCCATATCATACCGTCCACGATAATACCGGTATAAAATTTTACATGATAAAAAATTGTCATATCGCGATATTGATGATATGATGACGTACAGTATGGCATATTTACGTTACTTAGCGCGTGCACAACAACACAGCGGCATGTCAGCCTCCGGATCAGATCAAGATTTAGTTCCTAAAAAGGGCGCTACTTCAATAGTATGGAAGTTGTTTGAGTACAAGAGGTCAGATCTCCAACAACACAATTTTTTTTTGTCAAATATGCATGAAAACTCGTTTCACCACTTCCCTACTAGCGTACATTTTGCATTCGCCTAACGTTAATCTTCCTTCAGAGTTTCCGCAGTTCGGGTACAACAGTCAACACGATTAAACTCTTTCTAAGATGATTCAATGTTACTATTATTATATTTGATCTGTAAATTAAAGGTCTATGGTTTCACATAAAACAACTTTATCTTGCTGGACTTTATTGCTGTAACTAAATCATCATGTTACTTTCTACCGGCCGGGTGTCTGTTAGAGCAAAACACTAGAGTCAGAGCACTATTGTTCATCACGCGCACAGTAACTGAAATGTAAAACTGTTAAAAGAAAGGACTCAATAAATGATTGCATAGCTAGATGCTGTATATTATACACGACGCTACGCATCAATATTTATTTCCTTTGTGCTTTGAACTGTTCAGTGCGGAGTATTCGACGCGCTGCGCGTGCGCGCTGTGACTCCGTGTTGCTTCAAGCGCATCATTCAGCGCTCAGGATGCGCATAAGCGCTGTGCGATATATTGGAGCCTTTCATATCATAATACTTTTGCGCAATGAAAGATTATTAATAGCCTTTGTTCTCTCCTATCGATCATATGTTGCTGCCTCATTAAACAGCTGTGCTATACATTTTAAACATGCCTCAATTTTATAGTAGACTAGGCTATATAATAATTAATCCTTTTGATTTGTTACCTTGTTTTTTTTTTCATGAATGTACAATACAAAGAGCAATGTGTAAAGTTTTACCAGATTTAGTGTTACAATTGTCTCTTATTTATTCCCCACTAAATGTTTTTTCCCTAAATGTTCCGATTTTATACAATTATTGTATAAATTAGGTATTGTATACCTCATTTGATGCTAATCCAAAAACTATGCAAGGCAACTGTTACATTTAAATTTTTTGTACTTCAAAGTTTAGGTAAATTTTATTAGGTGACAATATTGTGCAGGCTTCTGAAGTTATTGATAATATTGTTAATGTATTACTGTAGTTATTGTTAAAATAAAATGATAAGGAGTTATGTTATACTTTTTTTTTCACTAATGCTGCTGCCAGCCAGCTGCAATCACCAATAAAACATTGTTTCATATATATTTTTTCTATATCGTGATAAATATTATTATCGCAAATATTCTTGAAATATCGTGATATAATTTTTAGGCTATATCGCCCACCCCTAGCAGTGAGTCTATTTTTGTTGTGGTCAGGCTCATTTAAGGTGAACGCACACTTTTGATGGAGAAAATATATGATTTTATACAAAAAGTTACCAAAATGCAAAGAATTTGTCTAGTGTGCAACTTAACAAGAACTGGAGTAGGCTACGTCAGAAAAGAAAAAGATTTATACAAGATTTTTATATTTATACATATATTTTATATTTATATATTTATACAAAATTTAGCCATTTAAACTTGTCTTAAATTATTCAGTTTGGGTAAAACTATGTTTTATAAATAAATAAAATGAGCAAGTTAATCAGAATATAAGCTTTTCTTTCAGTTTATGTAAGTAGCCTACATGCCAAAATCAAACCTAGTGTAGGCCTACTTTTTTATGTTTGCTGTAAGTATGACTTAAAAGACAATATCAGAAGCTGTTTTCTAGGTTGTTTCTGTTGTTTACCATTTACATGCAATTGTTGTATACTTCCCATCTTAACAAACTTCAAGAATCAAGTTTATTAATGACCAACTTCTAAAAAGAGAATGTTTCTTTTTAAAGAAATGTGCACACACACACACGACTTGTTTAAATATATTTATGTTGTTAATAATTAACAATAAATTGTTGTGAGAGCAATATTTCCACGTTTTGTTTTTCCCTGTAAAAATTTCAAATCTCATGATTTGCCAATGCAAGAGAGTACTGGCACCTGGGGGGCACTTCAAGCACTGGTTGTCGATGTCAAAACTCTATAAGCTGTGATTCAAATTTTAAATAATGTTTTGTCATTATTTTACTCTTACACTGAATGTTTGCTGCTTCGGTCCAGATTAGTGTTGTGTAAATTTAGTATAGGTGTGGAAATTGGAAAGCTGTGGGATTTTTATATAGAAGATATGTTTGTTGGTAAAGGATTTTCACATTGTAGGCTACATTTTATGTACTGGTTTTGATGTTGAATAGACATTTCTAAAATTGTATGATGCTTTTGTTGAGTTATTACACAATTCTTTTTCTGACCTTTTTCAACATTGCCCCTGACAAATAACCCAAAATACAAAAAAAAAGACTAAAACGAACACTAAACCTAATAAAAACTAAACTAAAACTAAGCATTTTCAAAAAATAGAAACTAAACTAAACTAGTAAGCCCACGTTTAAAACTAATTAAAACTAAACTGAATTTGAAAACAAAAATTCGAAACGAAATAAAAATAAAAACTAATGAAAAATGCAAAACTATAATAACCTTGGTAGCAAGAGAAGCATTAACAATAGAGGGAATGCATTGATGTTATTTTCCCACCGGAACAACCCCCCTCAGCCTGACTGAGTGGCGAAAGATCTGCTGCGTGACTGGATTTAATAGGGGAAACTGCGAAAATGGTAGCAAAAGTCGAGACGCGAAATTTGAACTTGCAGTGACAGATTTGAGAAGTTGCAATTGCCAATTTGAGGTTGTACTGCGAATTTGAATGGTAGAAGAAGTGAAAATTTGTATTGCAAGTTTGTGTCTGTCATTGCATCTTTGTGAATTGCATTTTACACATTTGTGACTGCTTGTCTGCAGCTTCAAATTCAAAATACACATTTGTGACTATTGTCTGCGAGTGCAAATCTCAGCGTTCAAGTTCAGATTTTTATTTTATAATTTTTTATTTTATTATTTTCATATTGGAGCTGTGAGAGTAAAAGTTTGCATAAACGTACGAATATGTATTGTACAAGTTTTCAAATTCACATCTACACTCTCGAGTTTTGCTACTAATTTACCTTCATAATAATCCCCTCTAGTGATGTCTTTTCATTAAGTATACAAAATGCAAAAATAATTTCGAACCTTTATTTTTTTCAACGGTCATATTCGTCACCTCAAAATATATGCAAATTAGCACATATTTAATTAGATATAGGCTGATTAGCATATTTAAACATAATTTTTTTTTTTTTTTACTAAAGTAAACTACTACATTGCTAGGGGAAATGATCTCGGTCCTACAGAAAACTTGCAATACATTTGTTTTCCTATTCATGCAAGTAGTCAACTGATAAAGATTCATGGTGGCATCTGAAGCATGATCATGGGGGGGGGGGGGGTCAGATCTTTTATTACTTATGACAGCTTGGTCTGTCTTGAGTATGCTGGTCACATGATTTGCTTTCACTTTTTTGTTGAAAAGAAGAGAAAATTAAGTAATAATATGTTGTTCATGTTGTTATTTAGCACGTTTTGAAATGTGTGTCTCCTGAGACATGTTGCCTGTTGAGGGTATAAAAAGGGGATTAAACTACGTCTATTTAAAATGCACTATCCGAACTTAAATGATTGTAATTCAAGAATGCTTTGGAATATAGACCTAAATTTGGTCTTGTTTTAAAGAAAAGGAGTTCAAAACTTACATTAAATTAGATGTACTATACTTAATATTTATTCTTTTTATAAAACATGTATTTTACAAAATATATATTTACTATAAAATTACTATAGAATCAAAGCCGGGTTTCATCTTGAGTTCATAAGCTTTCAAAATATAATCTGTCAACATTAGATCAGGTGAAGAATGGTATATAATTGTTTTAAATATACAGTGGAAGTAACAGTTTACAGATTAATGACGTGGTCCTTTTTTATACCTTAATCAGGCAACGTATATTATGAAACACAACTCATAAAATCCAAAATATATAAAATTTTAAAAATATGGATATGTTTTAAGTCCAGATTATATAAAAAATTTAATTAAATTATTTTTGCTTAACATTTTCGACTCTAGCCTGTTTAAGGGTTAAAGAGGAGTAGTATACGGCAAAATTAGCAAAAACACGTTAAAGCGTGAATGCTAAAATGGCATCAACAGGCAACAAAATACATAAGTTTTTCACAAAATATAACTATGGTTCAATCTCATTCAATGACACAGCATTTACCAAAACTACGTTATATTATAAAATATATACAAACATTTTCTTGATGCGTTTACATGACGGTGTGTTGCAAGTTTGCTAGTATTTTTATTTGTTGCCTATGTGTAGGCTATGGTAACTGACGATGCTAGTCAAACAAATATGATAACCTCTGCTATTCAATCACATTGAAACTTTAAACAAATGATATAAATATTAAGAGCAAAAATACCTTCAAAGAAGAGTAGTCCGAGGCAAAATGTGCAAAAACACAACGAAGTCCGCCTACTCTCTCACTCCTGCATGGACAAACACACGTGAATGAAGCGATAGACCGATCACGATTAAAAGCGCCAGTTTCAAAAGTTCGCTAATTACACGGATACACGTCATGAAGTATTTATCAACACAGTTTTAACACGATGTTCACTGATAAAGAGACCGTAAATACGACATATGTACGAGAATAAAAGAGTGAAAGATACTGACTGACCTTCTAGTTTCTCCGTGAGTCTACGCGCGAATGAAACGGGGGAGAGAAGCACTTCCCCCCTATGGCACTTCCTAATGGGCGTTTCACACCGCAAGCGTGAGCTCCGCGTCATCCTCGTCATAGGGAGCCAGTCTTTACAACTATACAATATTTTTTAGAAGTTGGTCATTTATAAACTTGATAGCCCTAGTGAAAAAAAGTATACTTTATTGTATTTGAAATATACTCTCTTTTTCAATAATACATAATTGTACAACTAACAATATATAATTTCTAGATATATTAAAACTAAATACTAACATCATGCTTTTACCTATTTTCATAATAAAACTTTTAGCACACTTTAAAATCATTTTATTTTATTATATTTTCAAAACAAATATATATTTTAGTAAAAAATATAGGCTACTTGAAGTGAAAATTCAGTTTATTTTTTAAAAGTGTATTTATTTGCACTTTAATAAGTGTATTTATTTGGGTGGATTTTCTGCAGGGGTTCAGGCGGAAAGACTGCCGAATGACTAAAGAAAAGTTATTAGCAAGATGGTAGAAAACTGCACATTTCTTGTCTATTCCACCCACTGCCACTCATACCAACCAACGACGGAAATAAGCGCAGTTACGATACGATAGCTTAATACGCTTAATACTTCAAAGTCAAAACTATTTAGCACATTAGTTGTAATTGAAAAGGTTTAAAGTCCATGTAAAAGCAATTCTACAAAAAAAAAACTCTAAACACATTATAAATGTTACAAATGTATTGCTAAAACATATTACAAAGACTGTGAACTGTGAAGTACTGAATATTGGAGTTAAAAGCCGTTGAAAAAACAGAGTTACAACACTGTGCTTCCGAAGTACTCTCGCTGGTAAATTAATGCAATTACTGCATTTTTATACTTTTAGCCGACACATTATCACACATTAGCCGACCTCTCGTAAATCTAGTCAGTAGTTATATTTTATGTAGCCAGTTTTAGTAAATGTTTATTGGAAGATAATAGTTTAATTGCAGCGATAGCTTATGTGACCAACACTTACAACACTAACATTAGCTAACTTACGGTAACCTGATGTACATAATATATAATATTATATATATATATAGAAACCTCCCTGATGCCGCGGAGGTATCACAAGGTCCAGAACGGTGTCCACTTGCACAGCGCAACGGATCAGATAAGGATTGCGGATCCATACTAGATCCGCGGCAGACCCTATCCGGACCCGTTCATTTCGGTCTGAAAACCTTTCAGATCACACATTCAAAATTAAAAATTAAAAATGGCCAAAACTACAAAAATATTTCAAACCTATTGGTGGACCAATGTTAGATAGACTGCTCACTAAACAACATGATGTCCAAAAGACGTCTTTTCAAAGTCTTTGTCACAAAAGTCGGACGTTGAAAAGACGTCCACTCAGGAGCCAGAATTAAAGTTTTTCCCAGCTAACAAAAAAAGGTCCCCCAGAACATCCCCTAAATGACGTTCAAGAGGACGTTCCCAGGACCGCAGCGGCCATTCGGGACGTTTATGGGACTTTTGTGTTTAGTCTTAATATCATTTTATTTTATTTTACTTCTGGCTAACTAAAGAAAACAGACACGGTGTAAGGAACAAAGTAAATGTCGCTAGGCTCTGTACTGTGATGTCGCTTGTGGGCGTTCGTAGTGCTGTCGCTCTGATGTTATTGGTAGACTGCACGTCTGGCCATATCTATACAAAAGACCATCACAAGTGATATATAATTTTAATTTGACTGGGAATAAATTACTTTTAAGGCTAAAAAGAAACCATATGCTGTTGGGAGAGTGTTTTTATATTTCCACAGCTGTGTTCAGTGGATTAAATCTTTTACTAGATCAACGATCGATCGAATGAACAAATTAAACTCACTGCTGTTACAAATTATAAAAACATCATTCGAATTTGACAAATAATCAATTTTCTTGCCCCTAATAGTCAACGTAATGCAGGGGAAATTGTAAAATGAACTGCAGCAGTGCTAAACGTGCATCATAAAATTACAACACTCGAACTATAACGTTAAATGTATGAATTAAACTCACTGAGACTGTCGACAGTTTCTTTTCCATGCATCATTTTATTATCCATGTCATGTGGTTACAGTCAAATCATATAAAACGGTGAAATCATCCTCAAACTCTTTCTTTCTGTCTTGCCTGCACTCGAGACGGTGACATGAGCTTCACTGAAAGTCTTCTTTCCTATTGGTTGTCGCTCGCGAAAATCGCTTCTCGATTTGCATAAAGTTGAAAATTCTCAACTTTTGTCTCTTGTCGCTTGACACGCCCACATTCTGTCGCCAACGGTCACTGTCGCTCGTGTCGCCGGATGTCGCTAGCGTTCCATTGAAATGAATGGGATCTTGTCGCTTTGTCGCTGCGTTCCGCTGGCGGTGTGAACGGGGCTTTTGTCGGTCAGCTATGTGATTAATCTGATGGCAATTCTCCCCCTTTGGCGTCTACCTAAAACAACAAAATGAACATATTCAGTTATGATTTTATCAATAAGTGAAATGTAACGTTGTCTTATTTCAGCTATTAGCTTCGTAGTGTTAGCATAACGGTTATCAGCAGTACACTGCGGACAACTTCAACAAATGTTTTAAAAGGTAACATTTTCATATAATTTAAAGATGGACAGTGGTTATGGTGACTAATTTATAATAATCTAATTAAAAATACCTTTTAGATAGACAACGGACAGAGAAAACACAAGGCTCGGTCTGAGAAGTACCGTTAACTGTCACTATGCTACCCAGCTGAGCGTTGCCATGGATACAAACCATAGACTGTGATACAAACCGCGTACATAAGGAATGACGTCACTCGCTTAGGCGCATTTGATCCTATGATTTGATCGTCACTCGCTTGTTTCTCCAATGTTTTTTTTTTTATTTGATCTGCATGTGCTATCAGTCTTAAGTGCAATAATTAGAACAATATTTTTCCTAAAATAAATTATTTTTAATAAAACGAGTCATCTTCTCCTGACCAACGTTTGACAAGTAAATGTTTAGGATACTTTTATTGTCTTACCCGTGCAGGGGCGAAAATTTCATCAAAATGTTGGGGGGGACAATAAACATAACAATTCTCAAGAGCAAATTTTGAAGGGGACACCAATAATACAGGCAAAAAATACAGAGGAAAGCCTTACTACTATTATTAGTGTAGCATGGAGACCATTTCATTATACTTCTTAAAATTAAGCCAGCGGCGAATCTGTTTACATACTCTCCTCACGCAGCGCAGCGATTTCATTTCATTCAATGACTAATTCTTTAACTATATTAAATGATATAAACCAACTAAATCACAGTGAAAGCGTTAGAATCTAAATGCACAGCGCACCCGGACTTTCTAATCAGTGTATGGCCAGTAATATTGTAATGTTTAATGACATGAAGATAGTGTCTGTTATTATTTTTGTGTACAATTAAATACAATCGTTGCTGAGTCTGCGGTCTGAAAACTTTACCTCAGAGCATGCGTTAACTGAATGAATTGAGAATCTCACCTGAAAAATCCAATAACATCAGCAATTGTCATTCAAGCAGCTGATTTCTGTAAATGAATGCAAAACTAAATGTATATTGCAGCTTAGGGCGAAGTCAGGATCCGTCAGCACCGATTTGAGACAAAAATAATTTAAATTGTATATAAAACTATGTAAATGGCGCTCTGTGGCGCAGCAGGGTTTTGAACACGGTCCTGAGCCGTTGCTGGGCGCCGCGGACAGACGCTGAACGGCGCCGCCGGTGTGTGTACACTCATAGAGAATAATGTGTTCGAATTTTAAAGACGTGGCGCTGCGCGACGCGCCCCTACGCTTCTCGTCCGGTGTGCGACCTACTTTACTGGAGTTCCACAACTATTCAAACACTATGTTTTTCTCTCCCGCCACCGGAATGTGTGTGTCTGAGGTAAAAGGGACGGAGGCGGTGGACCAACGCACTGTGAGGCAAGGGAGGGGGGTCTCAAAATGTTTAGAACGCTTTTTTCGTAATTGCCCCGTTTGCATTTGTGTTATTTTATTTCTTAATTATTTTAAGAATATATCATTACATTATTTACAATACACATATTTTAATGGTTTTTTTGGGGGGGATAACCCTCAGATAGGGGGGGTCCTGACCCCCCCGACCCCCCCGCGATTTCCGCCTATGTACCCGTGTTATTATCCACTTTCCAGCAATTTTTCATTCTCCACGTTTTCCTTGGCTGCATTCATCATTTGAAGTAGATGCATTCTTTTAGAGCTCCTGGTATTCAACCTCTTCGTGCATGTGGAATAGCCTTTATAAATTGTAGCTCATATTCATTTGAATCAGTTGTCATGTTTTTGATGTTTAAATTATAATGGGTGAAAACAGATTATTACTGATTATTACGTGGTATTATTACATCTTTAATTAGTGATTAGAATTTACATGAAGTAACATGAAAGTTATTATCTTAACATTAAAACACTAACATTTTTAGCATTAACTTAATTTTACAATCAATGCAAATATTTGCATTTATATTTTAGTTTAATTATTCGTTTGTCTGAGTTGTAAAGTGTCAGTTGATGATAGCAAACATGGGCGACTGGATTTTGCAAGTGTTGTCATGGAAATGCCAGGTGAGGGACGAAATAGGGATGTTCGCAAACTGGCCCGGACAAATGTCCTCAGAATGTCCGTCAGCGAACGTTATAGAATGGACCAAATGTGAACGCCATCTCCATACGACTCTCCATTGGAAATAAATGACTTCCGGTCCGACGGCGGTCGTTTGTCGTGTGCAGTGGAAAGGCGGCTTTACAAAGGGGACCAAATGCGCACGTCATCAGAATGTCCGTCCGCGAACGTTACAAAGGGGACCAAATGCGCACGTCATCGGAATGTCTGTCCGCGAACGTTACAAAGGGGACCTAATGCGGACCTAAGGGGACGTTTGAAAAGTCCGGGGGACATCCCTTGTTTGCTGGGTTATGACGTCTTTTTTGACGTGTTCTGCACTTACATTTAGACGTTCATCG